TCTTCTGACTTTGTCCCTGGAAGTTCTTGTTATTTTCTGGTATGTCTCCTTGGTGATGTGCCTGTCCTTCCATTGCCTGTATACCTTCTCTCTGCTTTTGAGGTATGCTAGATGCTCCACATTGGTCTCCTTCTATTCTCCTTATGTTTCCATCATGTCAGAATAGCTTCTCACTGAGCTTTCAGTACTGTGCCCTTTAGAAGTTCCCAGCACTCCTGCACACCTTCATCCTTCAGCCTGTCTTCCCATTGCGTCCTGACTCTTAACTTCTTGACTTGGTTGAAATCCACCTTTTCGAAATCTAGTGTCTTAGCTTTGCTGACCTCATGTTCCCTCTATCTCAGGATCTTGAATTCTGTCATATTATGATCACTTCTTCCCAAGTTTTCCATCACCTTCACATTCTCCACCAGTTGTTCCCTATTGGTCAGGACAAGATCCAAGATAGAAGACCCCATAGTTGTATTCTCCACCTTCTGAAACAGAAAGCTGTTCACACAGGTTAGCAATGGTCTTGGCATTTTGCACTGGCTGTATTGTTCTTCCACCAGATATTCAGAAAATAGGAATCTTCCATACGTACCAACTCATAACTTTTGGATAACTTTGAAACCTCCTTGAAGAGTGCCTCATCCACCTCCTCTTCCTGACTTGGTGGCCTACAATAAATCCCTATCAATATATTTATTGTACCTTTCACCTTTTGTCTTCACTCAAATATATTCTGGTCTACTATCTTGTTTCTCCTGAACTAGGGAACAAGTATATGTGTTTCTGACATAAGAGGTGATGCCACCACCTTTTCTCCCAACCGTTTCCAGAACAGAATACAGCCCTCAATGTTGACGTTCTAGTCATCAGAGCTTTCCCATCAAGTCTCTGTGATACCAATCAGATCATAGCTTTTCCAAAGGCTGTGACTTCCAGCTCATCTTGTTTGTTCCCCATGCTTCTCACATTTGCATACATACATTAGATGTATTTTGAATTTCACCCTACTTGTTTCTCTTTTGCATCACTCACTGCTGTCCTGTGGCTCTCTGACCCTTTCCTGCAGTTGAACTGCTTCTTCAGGACCTTTCTCCTATGAATAGTTTTCTCTGTGGCTGGAGGGTTTTGTTCACCATCCCTCGTGGAACCTAGTTTAAAGCCCTCCTTACTAGGTTGGCCAGATGACTCCCAAAGATGCTCCAGGTAGACAGCACACCTCCTGTGACCCCATATTGGTGCTTCTGTTCCCTGCAGAAGGGAGTGACTAACCATCCCCACTCTCCTCTTCCTTTCTGATGTAGTGACCTTAGCACCACCATCTCTGGCACTCTGTATTTTCTGCTCTCTAGACTGCTGAGTCCTTTGGATCTTGCCTGTTGATGTCCTCATCTCTGCCTTTTCCTCAACTGCTCTACTGCAGAGTGTTTGAAAGCAGTTGCTGAGTACAATCTGTTTTTCTTGAATTCTGGGGACACTTTCTTCTAGCAGTCACATGTTGCCACTTCTCTTTTCCCTTTGGTCTCTCCACTATCAGCCACACATAACTCCTGCCCATATAATCTTCCTTTTCCGTGATAAAATGCAGCATGGATATCTGTGCTTCTAACCTTTCAATTTTTTCCTCCAAGGCAGACACCAGCTCACACTTGACCCTCTGGGAGGAACATGAACATGGCACATGCAGGTCACGACTGCTGATCCAGTCTCCATTTATGCCTCCTTTGCTCTCTGGAGGACGCCTAGGCTATAAAAAACAAAAGCAAAGAAAAAGAAAAGAGAAGAAAAAAAATGCACATGCTTGCGCATGCATGCATACACACACATGCAAACAGAGTCTCCTGCTCCTTCCTACCATGAACTCCCAGGCTAACTCCCTCTCTGTTTGCAAGGAGCTGCCTTTAAAAGGCTGCCTAGCCTAGCTTCACTCCTCAGCCAGCGAAACCAGCTGCACTTGAAGTAAATAACTCGCACAGAGCTGGAAATGAAAATCCTGAAACCTGTCACTCCAAGGGAAAAACAAAATAAAAAGCAAGGCACAAATCAAACACCCCAAAACCACTAATTAGATGCCCAGGGTCACCAGAATCCAGAAAAGTCTCCTCAAGGCAGTCCTACCAGTGATCTGCTTCTCTTACAGCAGCCCCAAGGCAAACTTTCTGTTTGCTGCTTCTCCACTCCTTCATGGGAACGGAGGGATCTACAGACAGCAGGAATAAGTCTGCTGCTGAATGCCCAGCCTTAAAGATGTAAAAAGACATTCCATTCCACCTGGAAAAAAACCTTTTGTTCCAGGATTCAACAGAGTACAAGCCTAACTGTCTGAAAGTGTTAACACTTTTTCCTGGGACAATGCTGTGTAGTCTGTAAACTAATCTCTGCTCATTCAAGTTAATTGACATCTATTCCAGAGACAAGCCTATTGGGGGCAGGGATGCAATTTGGAAAGACTATATGTGTAAAGAGCTATTCCACTCTTTACTCTTGCTTTTGACTTGGATTAGTCCTTAGATTTCTAAACAATGAAGCTGTCAGCAGGTGTAGAGAGGTGAATTTACTTTAAAATATTCAGTACTGAGACTGATACTGAAATATGTTTCAGCATTTCCACAAGGAGAAAATACCAGATTCAAATGGACTATTTAATATGGACAAGAATGACTAGCTTGAAGACGAACCTAGACAAACTCAAATTAGAAGTGGGGATTTTTTTTTCTTTTTTTTTTTTAAATCGGGGTCTTGATTAACCATTGGAACAAATGACCAATGGAACAACGGAACAAGGGGACTTCGTTTCATCTGATGTCTTCAAGTCGATGCTTATATGTCTTGATGACAGATATTTTCTTAATCTAATGCAAGTTATTGGGCTCTAAGCAGGTGTTACTGATGAAGCATAATAGTCTGTGCTAAACAGTGTGTATTATCACCCCCTCTCCCTTGGGTATATAATATTTTGAATAATGCATGCAGAGTCCTGAAGAATGACTGAAACACTCCTCAAAAGGGAAAGACCTCGGGAGTCTGGCTCACATAAAGGGGCCAGGGAGATGGGCTCAGACCATCCTGGAGGAGACATACCTCCAGGTCCTGGATCACAGAGGGAGTCCATGTCTTCTCAAAGGTTGAGGTTTGCTTCTTCTCATTCTACTCTTTGTGTGAGGTCCTTCATCTTGTAGCCCTGTCTGTCGCTCCAAGCAATGGGGCTGCGGATAGCAGACACTCCTTCTCACTATCTAGCTCATCCAGTATAAGAGGAAAAAGGGAGGCTTCAAGTGGGAGGGGATCATGTAGGACTGATTGGCCCCCTGCCCCTAATTCCTCCCCACCATCCACTTCCATGTCACTCTTCCTAGCCACCACCCTTTCATCTCACTGCACTGAATCCTCATCTCTCCTTGCTCCCCCAAATCTACCACCAAACTCTCTCACCCCTTTTAATCCTCATCTGACAACCATCCTTATTTAAGACTTTCCTATTACTTCCTTTCCTCCCTGCACCTTTGCAACCCTCACACTGTCCACCCTCACTGCACTCTTCCCCCAGAATTATAAGAAACTCTAAGGAGCAGCTAATTTTAACAGGAATGAGTAGTAGGAACCCTTGGACTAAATGACCCAGTTGCTTGCTTTTCTTTGATCACATTAAGTCCAACTTTTTGGAATATGTAATTATATTATCCTAAATGCTTACTAGTCTCTCTCTTTAATTAAACAACTGTTATTTGTTTATAATACTTCAAAAGTAATATCTAAGTCTGTATGTGGATTTTAGAGCATTTTAAAATAACACTCAAACCAGAGACTTCAGTCTCAAGAACAAAATGTCCAAAAGTGCTTTGCAGTATACAGACAGAAGAACAAGAAGCATGCCCAGGAGACAGTCAAGAGTTGCTCTCAAACTTTCAGAACATAGGTCAAATTCAGGGTCAAGGACTACAGATAACTTTGAGTTATCTAGTTACTATGAAACTAGACTGCCTGAAAGTTACTTAGTTTCAGTTCCTAGGGGCAGGAGTGCAGCCCACCTTATCCCCGCACACAGCTCTTGTGCACTCTGGGAGCTGTATGCTTTTTAACCAGTGTGCTACAAATTGTTCTCTGGTATGCTGCGAGAATTTTGGAATAATGAAAAGAAAGTTCTCCAGACTCCTACCGATAATGAATAAGCTGTGTTGACGAGATATTCACAGAAAACTTGCGCATGTGTTGGCTGTGGGGGAGAGAAAGAACCAGCCAAGAAGAAAGAAATTCATGTACTGTGCATGTGTTGGCTTTGGAGGATGCACAATTTGCGAACCTCTGAACAGCTGTGCCACAGAATTTTACCACGGTAATGAACTACAATGAGCTTATGAGTGTGGGGAAGGGGAATGCTTAAATAGGTGTGTCACAGAAACATTTTATTAATCTAAGTGTGCCTTGGGCTGGAAAAGGTTGGGAAACACTGCTGTAGTCCACAGGGCCATGCAAAGCAGCAGCCAGACTCGGCGTCTTAGGAGCCCCTGCGGCAGCGGCTCCTTTAGGCTGCCGCTGCCAGTGTCTCCACTGCTGCATCTGGCCCTGCTTCCCAGGCACCCTAGTCCATCTACCCTGCACCTACAGCTACAGGCACCAGACAAAGCGGGCGGGCAGGTGGGCAGGGTGTCCATGGAGACTAGCCCAGGACCCCTGCAGGTAGGGCATGTTCAGCTGGGTGAATGTGATGGGCCCATAGGCAGACAGGGAGCGGTATCCAGGAGCAGGGCAGGTGGGACCGGGGCCAGGATTGTGGGAAGTGACAGCTTGGGGTAGGGTCTAGGGCAGAGCCATGATCCACTCCCCACATGTCCCTGCAACATAAATATGACATCAGGGATAAAAGGGAAATAAAACTGAAGCAACTGAGAGAGGAACGTTTTCTCTTCAGGTAATGTAACGTTCTAGAATTTGGTTGTTCATGTTTATAGCTAATTAATGCCTCATCAGAACAATGGGGCATGGGCCTGCAGGCCCCCCACTTCGCTTCTCACCAGATGATAATGGCCACCAGCTTCATGATGGCTTCATTGAGGCAGTTGAAGAACTCCTGCAGGGCCCGTCCCTTCTGTTTCATGCCACCGATTACTAAACCAAAACACACAGAGAATACGACCAGTCCCAGTGCGTTCACCCCATTTGCTGAGCCAGGGACAGGAATGATCTCCTCAAAGGTCAGCACCTCCTGGATGCTCCCAAGTGCATGTGTGACATTCTCCAGGATGCCAGTGATATTCTCAGGCACAGAGATCTGAGTGGTGGTGGCATCTGCTGTGGCGGTGCTGTTGTGAAGGACAGTTCTGGTGAGGACCCTGGTGTTGTACTGGGTCTTGTACTGAAATGATACATATTATTAGCTGCAACATAAATCTGGACATCTCCATAGCTCCTCCCAATTAAACCCCAAAAAAGCAGAGTCCCCTGAACTCATTTTATTTGAATGAACAACACAGTTCATTCTGTACAAGAAGTTCAACTCCGCATGGAATTGTATCTTCCTTAGTGGCCTAGCTGAGTGACCCTAGAAGTCTGCTATTTATACCGGCAATGGAGTCAACCCTGAAGCTCAACTCAAGGTGCCTGACAGTAGACTGTGGACCATTTATACTACTCCCACAATTACAGACACTGAAAAGTTGCAAAGCAGCTCTGGAAGAATTCCCTCTATTTGCAGGCAGTGAAGATCTGACATCTATGGCACCATACTGCTTCCACTTAGGCCCCTGGAGTGATGCAAGCTGCAGGCAGGAAGAGGACTGCCCAAAGCAATCCTTGATTTGGCAGTTCTGAGTTGTCTACAGACAAGTTGGAAAGGCTGTCTGCAGGTTACTCTGATTTAAACAAGCATCTACAGTAGCCTCCAAAGCAAACTGTGGGAAGTACAAAGGTGGCAGTGAAGCCACCCTTGTTTTTGGGCCTCCAAAGAGGCAACGTAGACAGTCTATTCTGCGTAGGCATAAAGAATAAGAGTGCTGGGCAGGAGAAAGCAAGCCAGGCAAATTGGCATCCATACCTGTTTGAAGCAGGCTTCCACTAGATTAGGTGGGAACATATTCCTGCAGCAGACAAAGCAAAAAGAGAGTTATGATCCTATTTGGCTTGAAATCAGGTTAGCAGGCTTTTTGCCTAACAGTCTTAGTATTAAATGCTGGCTCCCTTCAGGACACTTAGGCTTACTCAAAAGCCAGATCAATCTGTTGTGGCAGAAAAGTCTCTTCCTTTCTGACTGGATCACCTAAAAGAAAACAGTGATGTCCTGATCTTAGACCATCTATACACTAAAAACGCTGCAAGATCAGATTTCCTCTCCCAGTCTCATGAGCCATGAATGATCATTCCCTGGTTAGAGATCTCTGTTCTTGCTCTTACTCCAATATACCCAGCACAAGTACCAATTATGTTGGAGGGCCAAACTGTGTCTCCTTCTTGGAGGGTCCTAGATGCAGCATATTAGTGGGAGACAAAGGCTACAGGATTTGGTAGCCAGTGCTCTGTCACTGAGCCCTGTTCTTACACAGACTGTACTTCCCCACTGATTCAAAGTATACCCATGGTCCAGAAACGTAAGAAATAGAAGGCATTGACATACGTAACACTCAGAGTGGGTTAAAAGTGGTTTAAATCTGAAGCAGACAGACATACAAGCCTGTTACATCAGTTTAAAGCTACCAAGAATGATTCAAAAGTGCACCTGGAAAACTGAGTATTGTTTTGAACTGGTTCACTGTGAACTGGTTTAGTATCATGTCTGGACCCCAAGTGGTCCTGGTTAGTCCTTCAGGCATCCCACACTCCTTTTCACTCCCCACCCCTGGCTTTGGTACAAAGGCAAAATTCTATTGTCCTCCCCTCCCCTACTTTTTTTCCCCTTTTTTTGGCACTTTTTATCAATAAGCCACCTTGCACTATTTACTCAATAAAAAACAAAGTGTCTTCACTCCCTACTCAATTGCAGCCCCTAATCATGCCTCCCTGGTTCCTGAAAACTGAAAGGCCTGGGTCCAAGCACTTCCCCTCCAAGTCAGACAAGGACACTGCAGACTTTGGCCAACTGCAGACTAATGAAGTTTATTTAACTCATATGTTTTAGAAGAGAAAGGAAAACAGAAAAGTGAAAATGCCTCCAGTCATAGGTCACCCAGCCCCTTGAGCCACCAAAGCATGGGTGTGAGTGCTCCTACCCTCTGGTGTTAAAGTCACAGCACTTCGCAGAATTGTGAACTGGTTCCAGTCATTGACATTTTGGAACAGTTCAATTGTTACGTGTGTCCACATCCAGAAATTGGCTATCAGATCAGTGACAGGCCAGGGCTGCTGCCACTGTGCAGCTCCCAGCCTTTTTTTTAGATGTTTCAGACAAATGAGGCTTCATCATTTCGCTAAAGAGACTGTGGCAAGCTTTGTTGGCAAGCTCTGGCAGATAGAGGAATAACTTGAAAAGAGGCTCAATGCCATTTGCATTGGATTTGCTACTCCTGTAATCTGGCAGGCAGATCAGGGCCCCCCCACACCCCTGGGAGGGCTGTGGGGCTTTGCCAACTCCTCCCAGGGATATGGGGGGCCCCCAATCTGCTTGCTAGATCACACGAGGCTGCTCCTGCTGCCTGGGACAGTGCTGGGTGCAGCCCACACCCAGTGCCAGGAAGAGTGGTGCTGCTGCTGGCCCCACTCGGCACCAGAAGCCTCCTGTCATCGAGCAGGCATCCCCGGGAGGGCTGCGGCGGCTGTGCCGGACTGCTCCTGGCGGTGCAGGCCCCCTATCTGCCTGCCAGGGGCCAGTGGCAATCAGGGCCATCCCTAGGGGGGGTGAATAGCCCCTGCAGCCCTCCTGGGAGTGTGGGCGGGCCCCCAATCTGCCTGCCAGATGACAGGAGGTTGCTGCTGCCAGCTGAGACTGGCACTGAAGCCAAGTAAGCCTGGCTTGGAAACTCGACACGTTTTGAAACGTTTCAAGTGCCCTTGTTTTGTTTCATAGATGTTTCAAAGGCCTTTGTTTCATTTTGATTTCACTGTTTTGAGCTAAAAAAGCTTCGACACAGATTTGAAATGAAACACCGGGCAAAATTTTGCACAGCCCTACTAAGCACCTGCAGTGCTGGGCTTCTTCCTGCAGTACTCCTGGGGCTCTAGCACCATGGATCTTGCCCCTGTGGCTTGGCCGCCACAGGGGAGCCTTGATAAGGTCCCTTATTAAGGCTGTGGGACAGAAGACCCAGCTCTATGAGTTGGATTCAGTCCATAGGATGTATGTTTGACACCCCTGTTCTACAGCTACAGAATGAATATTCAGAATGGTTTTCAGTACAGTAAGGTCAGCTTATCACAAGGCATGCTCTTAACCTAAACCAACTCATACTCTTACCTCACCAGGTCCATGAAGGCATCAGTTGTTTGCACCTGCTCAATTTTCCCCTCCCGATGGAGTTTGTCCTTGGTTCCTTTGCCTGGATGGATGATGATCACCATAAGTATGCCAATGAAGACTGCTATGATGGTGGTCACCATGTAGTAAATTACAGCCCGCATTCCCATTTTCCCTGAAGCTTTACCATCCAGTGAGGCCATACCTTGGAAATGAAAAACAAGGCAAGAGTGTCTAGTTTGTTAAATTATACATGGGGAAGTATGGGGGAGCCAGAAGCAGACTCTGAGGAGTGAAGAGGAATGTGGAGAGCAAGAGGCAGATGTTGAGATATGAAGGAGGATGTGAAATGGGGGAGAAATGGCCCCAGCAGTATAAAAAGCTGCCCTGACAAGCAGCTCAGGGCTACTTGCTCTCAGGAGCTTCATTCACCAAGTGGTGGGACCTGCTCCGTGAGGGTGTGGCTGGGGAACCCTAGTGGTTGAGTCCATACTCCACCCTCATCCCACGAGCTCCTGGGGACCTCGGCTGGTGGCTCCTCGAGTGTGCCAGGCTGCAGCTCCTCCACCTCCAGAACCTCCCCTTGAAGTTCTGGTTGAATTTCACCCCCCACCTTTTTTTCTTTGGTCACCCCATCCTCAGCTCCACCAAGTCCTGGGACCTCCTGGTCCTGGCCAAGTGGGCCCTGTACTTGACCAGGAAGGAGGCTCTGGCCAGGAAGGTGCCCGGAGACTGTGGGGCTGCTTTACTTTCACTTGTCCATGCACATTTCTGGGCAGAGCACCAGTGGGCGGCATCCACTGGCTTCTTGGATGCCTTTGAGGACCGGTGGGCTCTGCTCAGTGACCCCTTCTGGCAAACGACTTTTCACATTTTGAACCTATAATCTCCACGTCACGCCTATCCTTTTCTATCTTAGTTGTCACACCCCTCCAGCGAATTTTTTTTCACATTTTGACCCTTTGACCCACACAACATTCCTATCCTGTTGTTTTTTTTAATTAATTCTCCCAATTATTCTGTTGTATCATCCATCCATTGGCCCCCTACAATAGGGGCTATTAGTTAGCCGTGTGGACCTCAGGGCCTGAGACAGGGGCAATGCATAGGGGGTACATACAGGTGCATGTGCAGCCCCTGCGCATGGCGGTGCACCCCCTGCAAAAAGGTGCCACCGGCACTACTGGCAGTGCCTGCATGCAGTCACCACTCACCACCACACCACCAGTACCGCCACTGGCATCTGCAGGCAGTCCACAATCGCCCCCGGCTGCTGCCACCACTGCCGGCAGCACCTGTGGGTGGTCGCTGACCCATGGTTGGCCTTTGCCATCCCCCACCCCCCTGCACCGCTGACAATGCCAGCGGTGTCTGCAGGAGTTCCCCGCTCCCCAC